TTTGAACTTGAGAGAATAAGTTCTTTTCCCAATTCTTTATGGTGCTGAGGTGTCTGAAAGACAAACTATCCCAAGACCTGGGAAGGCAATGTAACCTATATCCAAGTGTCTGTGTCCGTGAGAAACTGATTATTCCCTTATCTGACTTTTAAGAATAATTAAATTACTCTTTGCAAAGCTTTGGTGTTCTCGGTAGGGCATGTAACAGACTGCATACTGCTACTGAGTGCCCTGGCGGAAAGATGTAAATACAGAGGAGAAAGAAAGAGAGTTTGGTAACTAGAAGTATCTGTTTGATTCAAAGCTATCTGTGAATCATCGTCCTTCAATTGATAAGCCATGGTTAGTTGGATGGATGCAGTATGTTGACTTTTTCCTTATGAAGGGCCCTGAATAGAGAAGCAACTAGGAATAGGACTGCTCTATAACGCAAGACTCTTCAGTTTTGGGCTGTAACAAACATCAACAGGAATAAGAATCTGAAGGCCCATACCAAATGGGCAGGTTTAGGCATGTGATATTTCAGTTATATCAGTTTGCTTTTGCTGCTACAAGGAGGTATAACTGTTAAATATATAAATGCATTGAGCTGTGCTCATTTGGAACCGGGTTTCTTCTCTCCTCCATAGCAGTGATAGGCATTCCCAATTAGTAGAGCCTGCCCACTACCCTGTCTTTTAAATTTTAAAATCTGTTTTTGTTAATAAATAATTCTCAGTATTTCTTACTTGGAGCCTGGTAGATTAACGCTCTCTTAACTAAATTACTTGTTCGAGCCATTTGATGACAGTCTATCTCAATAGCTTTTTGACAGGCAGGCAATGGCTGCAAACTCTCTAGGAGTTAATGTCCTTCATCACCAGGGGTATTATTACAGCAGGTACCACTGTGCCAGTGTGGTGATGGGCTGCTGTGCTGGCCATCTTTTATTTATTAGCACATGCATAGAGAGAGGGGAGAAGAAAAAAAAAAATTATATATATATAAAAAATGGAACAGAGGCAAGATGTTGATATTCTGACCTTAAAAGAGAATATCAATCTTGTTACTTTTTTTTTTTAAATGAGCTACAGTATTATTAATTTTTTACTTGCAAAGGAGAAAACTGAGAGGTTGTCTGTTTACAAAAGCATCAGTGATTCATTTTAGAAATGAGAACCCAACCCTGCAATCCTTCCTCATGTAAGCAAACCCTTCCTATGCTCACAGCTTGACTGACATTTGGATTATCTACACAATGATGCATAAAATTAAGAGTTGCAGGACTGACTCCTAAACTGCCGAATTTAAGATGCAGTCGAGCCATTCAATTGACAAGAATTTCCCCTACCGTGTTTTGGTTATTACATTATTGAAAACCAAGCAAAATTACATTACTGCCACCAGGTGGTTTTTTTTTTTTTGCTAAATTCTTTGTAAGTTGATTGATTATTCATGAAGTGGTTGCCTCACATATTCAGTATCAGGTTATGTGACTCGTCAACCTGTGTGTGCAATGCTGTTCCTGTTATCTTTAGATGAACAATAAAATAAAACATTCATAATTAAAATCTGCATGAAATGTGGAGAGTATCTATTTCTTTCTAAGTGCTTGTGAATACTGGCAAAACATGTGTTCTAGCGGACAAAACATGACAGCAGTATCCCAATCGGAGGGCGGACTTGTTCAATAGTTTATTTTAACCACATCGCTTAGCTCTGTTTCATTAAACTGCATGTTATGCAAAACTTAGCTCATTATCCAGTAGCTTACACTCTCTGCAATTTCCATACAAGACTTCTGGCTTATTTACTTACATGTGTCACAGCAGGTATTGCCAATTTTTGCGATTCTGCCCTAAAAAAAGAAAAAAAAAGAAAACTTTCATTTTGGCATAAGTAACACATATTTGTTCTGCTGGAATAATACAAAGAGATGTTTAAAATAAGGTATTAAGTGAGAAAATTGTATGTCTAAATTGTACCAAAATATAAATCTACGTTAGTAATCATCTCTTGATCCATTTTAAGGTTTTGAACTTGTGATTCTACTTGTTGATAGCTCATTGGAAATAATTGACTTTATTAGCAAGTTCAACACCTGAAAATATTACTTTTGTCTTATATTAAGAGCTTTCTAAAGCAAAGACATCAAATACAAATAAATTTATGGGAAGGAGAGTGATAAAACCAATAGCATTCAAGCCTTATGTCTGTTTAAGAAAGGAAGTTAAACTGACCCTCTTGATGTTTTTTAGCAATGTAGATGAAAGCACATTTATTCCACAATAGCTGAAACCATGCAGGCAAATCATCATAAAATATCACATCTGTCAAATAAGTTTTAATAGTCAAAAATTTTATTTTTCTTGTTTCATTAATGCCATGTAGAAAATAATCCTCAGAAATATATGTATGCTGGAAAATTACTGAAAACACATAATGAAAGGAAAAATGGAGAAATATTTATACTGCAGGGTGATGCCATTGTTAGACTAAATACCTGAACTTAGATCCTGCAGTTCAGAGGCATTTTTAATTAAAAAAAACCCTAAACTTTCCATCTGTAACTAGACAAAGACTATTAATTTTACAGCTGAAACAGTTTGGTTTTTTTAAATAAGAGGAGAATAAATGCAGTTTGGGAAGTTCTGGTTAAAAAGTAAACTATTCCTCATTGATTTACAATGAAAACCTTTAAAATATGATAATAATCCCAAACCTGTAACATAATCCAGCATTTTTCTAAATCTTTGTTTGTGTAACAAAACTGTGCGTGCTATAGTGATTTCACAAAGTGTGAAATATACTGCAGAAACTTTACTTTCCCTGCATCATACATATAAAATCCTCCATTTGCTTGATATATATGTTGAGAGAAGTTTGCACAAGAGCTTTGTTAAAGGTTTTAAAGGTTTCCTACTGTCATGCACAGTACTTACATGTTAAGTAAGTAAGTACTTACTTACTTTCCTACACCTACTCCATGTCATGCCCAAGAAAATGGGGAGAGAAAAATAAAAACCCTAAAAAAAAGGGTTTTCTCAATTTGTGTAATTATCCACATAGCTTTGCTCTGGATACCAAACAGAAAAAAATTCAGAGAATAACCATTTTCTTGTGTTTACTGCTTCATATCAAACAGAATTACTGCAAGCTCAGCATTTCTCCTGCAGTACAGTCCCACGTAAAAGCAGCATATATTTTAAAATAAAGAAAACTTACATTTTTCTGTATTTCAAGGAAAGTTCAAATTCAGTTTAGCCAAGGTGCTGGGAGAGGGTTGAGGTTTCCCACCCCAATACACATAAGGTACATATATACAGAACCATAAACATGACAGACTCTATTAGGCAACAGGACCCATTTCACTACTTACTCCTTCAGCCAAACATCTTCTGGAATCAAATGGAGGACAGCCAGTGATTCTTCTTTCCCAAATAAATTCCCCTTTCTCATTTACTTTACAGGAGTGACTATCACAGCCATCCTGAAGTGATTCATTTGGCTGTAAAAAAAATTTAAAGGCTGTTAGCTCTACACAGAAGCTTTACACAGAAGCAACATAGGACAGTAAGGTTTCAGGATACTACACAACCTAACTATTCCTTTACTGATCTTTCAATTAATGTACCATAATGGTGAAGTTTATAAAACATGGAAATCTTTAGTAAACAGGACTGTTTATTAACAAAGTAATAATTTTCTATTTACTTCCACAGCCATATTGATTACAGCTCAGTCAAGACTGCCAAAGCCAGACCCTTTTTCAGCTCTTAACAGGAAAGAACTTCCCATTAACTTAAAAGAGAAATTTGCATAAGTGAAAAACTTGGGAGTTTGGCCTATAAATTGTCTTTTAAAGACACACATATATGAATATTTTACTTCTGGCTGAGTTGGGAACTTCTTAAAAAAAATACACAAAACCACATTCCCACTCCCACATAGAATCATAGATTCATTTAGGTTGGAAAAGATCTTGAAGATCGTTGAGGCCAACCATAAACCTAACACTGCCAAGTCCACCACTAAACCATGTCCCTAAGTGTCACATCTACATGTCTCAAATACCTCCAGGGATGGTGACTCAACCACTTCCCTGGGCAGCCTGTTCCAATGCTTGACAACCCCTTCAGTGAAGAAAGTTTTCCTAATCTCCAATCTAAACCTCCCCTGGTGCAACTGGAGGATGTTTCCTCTCATCCTATCACTTGTTACCTGGGAAAAGAGACTGACACCCACCTCGCTACAACCTCCTTTCAGGTAGATGTAGAGAGTGACAAGGTCTCCCCTGAGTGTCCTTTCCTGCAGACTAAACAATCCCAGTTTCACCTCAGGTGCTCCTGATAAGACTTGTGGTCTAGACCCTTCACTAGCTTTGTTGCTCTTCCCATACTCTCCCCATGAAAAACTTAGCTCAGGAATGGAATAAAAGAAAATGTTATATGCCATTTCTTGTGATGGGTTTTAACCAGAAAAATATCCACTCCTGTTTAAGAATCTATCATGCTGGAGAAATTTCTCAAAATTCACATTTACAACTTAAATTATCCTTTTCTCATTTAAAATGATGTTTTTAATGTCCTCTAAGTAGTTCTTTGAGCTTATATTCCAGTTAAAGTTCCTTGATAATATTCATGCTTTCAGGTGCATCTAGAACGGCCTTCTAGAATTTTGCACTGTGGTACAAATTCTCCTTTTTTTCATTTACAAACAACAACAACAAAAAAGAACTTTCTTCAGAAACCATTCTGAGATATAAAAGAAAAGGCACTTTTACTTTCACAGTAATACAATGCTGCCTAACCAAAAAGGAGGAAAAAAATGCACTTTCCTTGGGTTCACCAGAAGTCTGTGCAACATTTACATTTACTCATACATAAAAAAAAAAAAAGAGTGCTTAAAACTTACCTGAAGGTATTTAAGCCTTCCATCTCTCAGCCTGACACTACATGATGTTGGCACACATCTTCCACAGCAAGAGCCAGAGATTTCCTGTCTTCTATAATTCTAGAAGGTAAAGGACATTTTTCTGAGTGTATTTTGTTTTAAGAGTGCTTCCTATACCTATTTGTAGAGGGTTGGGTTTTTTTCAATTCAGTGGACAAAGGATAGCCAGCAAAATGTTTTTTAAACAGCAGGACTAGACTAGATTAATCTAATTAGTTGCACACTTTCAGTTTTTGTTTTATAAAGGCTGGTATTAATCCTTGTGCCAATTTATTATACAATAGGGAGAGAAATTTATTTCCAAGTGCAAAGCCTCCTATGTCCACTAAATTCAATATTCTTTGACTATAACAGTTGCAAGGTCAAGTCCACTAAACAACACATGACAATAGGAGAGGGTAAGAAACTCATTAAAATGTTTTGAGTGACATACAGTTCACATTTGTGGTGTGCAGCAGCTTCTCTATAAAGCTCATGAATACTACACAGTGCAACATGGAAAAATAGTTTGAAGTGCTTAAACTAGGAGAAAAAGGCAAGATAATCAGTAAGCAGTGGGCAGGGAAAGGGAGGAATAAGGCTAAGGTGGAAAGCTTGGACTACGGAAAGAAAAAGAAAATGGCTTGATAAAACAACAAAGTAAAAAGAGTATCAGAGAGGGTATGACAATAAAATAAAAAAAAAAAAGAGGGAAAGAAAGAAGAGAGGAATAATGGAGCCCTACAAATGGCACAGGAAGGAAAAAACAGTGGCAGGGGAAGAAGCGTTGGGAGAATGAGCAGCACTAGATAGAGAAGAAGGTAGGTATAGAGTGGATAACAGAAAGAAAAAAACCAAAAACTAGAAAGGAACTGAGTTAACACATGAAGTGTCCCACAGTAAGGTCTCCAGCTGCTACACATAGCCAACAGCTGCTTATGATGAGCTGAACATTTTTAAGACAACAAACACTTTCAGGTTGAGTGAAGCCATGGATGTTATCCATATGTTTCTTAGAGAAAAAGAATTTGAGGAGGGTGGGGGGTTACTATTAAATCATTGTAAGAAAACATAGTTCATTGTTATTTAGGTGAACTTGCTCTACTAGCAAAACTGTAAGCACCTAAAATAGGTCATAAAATGACAAAAAAATCCGACCCTGATGAGCAGAATATGCTGCAGTTGGCTGCACTTCAATTACCAGTGCATTTACTTTCACAGCTTCAGCATCCAGTAGAAAGCAGGTGCTCCTGAGAGAGTATATACTCCTAACCCATGATTTTATCCATTATGAAGGAATTGCTTTTAATCTGGATATACTGTGAAATCGATGACTCTGAGACAGGAAAGATGTCAAGTATGTGTGTGAATCCCACTGGCCTTAAGACATTCTGTATCTTATTTTTCTCCCTTCAAGCTCCACAGATTCATTAGAATGGCTACAAAGGGATACACACATCTAGACCTGCAACCTCCCTTGGGTAGCTGCACATCTCCTAAACACAAGTTCATAGGGCTTAATAAGCCCAACTGGAACCAGCTCTTTTTTCAGGGTTTTTTGTTTGGTCTGTACTTTTGGGTCAGGTGGGGGGAAGGAGCTGTTTGGGAATTGTGTGGGTGGTGAAAGAAGCAGGAGAGGAATGTTTCCCCTTTTTTTTTTTTTTTTTTGCCATGTATTTTATTGATTCCTCTATCTTTAATTGCTACAGCTGCCTTATTGCTTTGAAAAGCAAGAATTGATGTTTGTGTGGTTTTGTGTGGGAACATATATACGCACGCATGTTTCTGGCCACAGATTCATGTATCTGGGGTTTTTCATTGATCTACCAGGTTACATTTTGTGAAAGTGAGGAAGATGCAGAGCACCAAGCCTGGCCATTGATTTTCCTTTCAGGAGTCTGTATCTGTAATTATACCCTACAGGAGGGGTGATATTAGGGTCCAGAACCACACAAAGTATTCCTGATTCTCCCTTTTGTCACAGTCTATATCCACACCAGCAAATAAAGAGGGTCAAGGCCAGTTTTCTGGCTCTGCAGACAAGTGGAACATGTATGTGTATCTAAACTGCGTTTTCCCCACAAAATAGGCTAGCCTTGGGTTGTCCCAACCACTGACCTGTGCCCAGGCGTTACTTGGAAGTTTGCTAGTTAGAACAGGCCAGCTGGGACACTGCTGACAATTCTTCAAGATCAGTGGTTGCAGGACATAATTTGAGCCTACAGTCTTGCTCTGTTGAGTTTATTAGTACAAACAAAACCACAGAAACTTGACTATGTTGTCCTTTCCAGTTCTACTTGGGGATTGAAAACCGGTCGCATCCAAAACTCTGCCCCTCTCTTTTGCAGGGACCATATCAATGTATGCCCCTCCTGGATACCAGCCAGGAATCTCACATGACCATGTTAGAGATGTGGCTTTTTGGCACAACGGCCACTGCTTGCACAGGCCCTGGGTTTGGTTGGGCCCATTGGGCTCCACCCACTATCCAGGGAAAGGCAGAAGAGGAAGGGGCATTTAAGCCTTTTGTGTGAAACTTAGCTGCTGATCTGTGCTAATCTAACACAGGGAAAGAAGAACATAGGGCCATGACTTCTCAGAAAAACTTGAAGAAAGGCAAGATATCTCAGAGTTGCACAAAACATTAACTGGTGCATGCAATGAAGAACATGACCTTCTCATCAGACACTTTTTTAAACAGAACATCCAGACCACTTGCACTTACTATTGGGCATGGTTCACAGGTTAATTTTGTGCATGTCAGAGTATATTTCCGCAAAGGTGTTAACTGGAGGGAGCAGACACATGTTGTGCATTGATCCACCATCAGGCGTCTCCATGGCTGAAACATTAGAAGCAGTTTGTAAGTCAGTGCATCTCTCTTCAGCAAAACTCAAGTAAATGAGCAGTTTTATCTAGGTTAAATCTCTGTCATTAAATATTGCATTGCAATTGTCTGCAAGAGAAAACAGAAAACCAATACTCCCACTTTCCAGAGACTCAGTTTTGCATCTGTCATTCCACAACAAGCTGCATAGCATGAAGATATTTTTCAAGTACACCCTTTAGAATTCATTAATCTGCAAAACAGCATTAGCATTTCTTACTTTGTTGCTTACAAAGCTAGCAAGCAAGAAAGGAATCCTTGGAATTGACAAGGAAGATTTTGTCATGATCTATCCTGACTATGTATTAGGTGGTTGCCAAGTTTTCCCAAGTGTAGTGAATTGGTTTGCCAGCAAGTTTTTATTCTTTAACCATCACAATCATGGGCAGAAATTATTTGTTACTGTTCTTGTAACAACGCTGCTTAGAATCTCTAGAGGCCTAAAAGCTTAAAATTGAGAGAGGAGAAAGAAAAAGAAAAACAAAACCAGAAACTGAACTACTGAGTAAAGAACTGAACTCGTTCACAGTTAAAAGCAAATCAGTGGCTGAGCTGGCACACAATTCAAATTCCCTGAGCTCTTCCCCAGCACCTTGTTTGCTGGATCCCATTAACTTTTCAAAGCAATCAAAAATGACATCTAAAATATAGAGCAAAAATGCCAAACTATTAAATGGGAAACAAAAGGATATGGACTTAGTAATTTAATTCCTAGCACTGAAATGAATTCTAAATACAAAGGCTTTCTGCCTCCCAAGTGCACAGCCTTTCATTTCAGCCCCAAAACATCAAACTACTATGGTTGAACAGACAAAAGGGAGAAGTTTATTGAAAATTTAAAAAAAAAAACAAACATCTAAAACCTAATACATAAGGCTAACGGACACTGAATATTGCTAGATAATAAAAGCTTTGAGTTGTACTTCAAAAGTCAATGGAATGTCACTGTTGACTTTATTTAGAAAAAGAATTTCCCATGCTACATACTATGCATATCCTTAAATTCCTTTTTCCCTTGCTCCACACTAGTAAACACTCATGGAACAAATGGAGCAAAACCAAAAAGCTGGAAAGCTGGCCAGAGTAACAGTGTAGAGGTAAAGCGTTTATGGGTAGTTCAGAACCAATATTCTAACATATACTCCGAAGGACAAATGTTCTGATTAAAGATTTTCAATTACATTTGTACTCTGTACCCAGAACAACAGAGGTCCTCAGGCTTCAGTAGTTTTCTATAAAGCAGCAGCAAAAGCAATAGCAATGACTTTTTCCTTGTTTTGTGGAGGTCTAGGAAAAAAAAAAATCCTCCACACGCAACATGATAAAGGTGGCGATACCAATGGGGAGATCCTATCTTTTAATAACTCAGCTTGACGCCTCGACACAGGACTCTGGCTTTCTTGGTTTAAGCTTTTATAGTGAATATTGGGTTATTAATCTGGAGGGTTAAAAGACCTCAATGGATGCAGGCATGAGGACACACTCATAACATTTTCCTATGGAAAATGTCATATGCAACTCTGAACTTCTTGTTTACACTCAACGTTGGAAACCAGACACCAGAGTGATAGTTCTAGTACAGACTGCATCGCCTCACAAGGGCATTCAATCCACTGATTTTGCTCTACTGGTTAGTAGCTCCACACAGAAATCATGTACACACAAAAGCTTTGCAAATCTGGGAGATGTCCTCATCATGTTGACCTGTTTCAAAATATGTTTGGGTTTGTTCTGTTTTATATCATAGTCACACTTAGTTCAGGCCTTCTATCAGTAAATGCTTCTCACAGAATGCCTCAGTAGCTCTAGGCTTTCACATCACGCAGAAAGTGCCCATAAAGCCACAACTGACATTACAACTCATGTCCTCATTGGACCTTCTAATAGTTCTGACATTCCAATTAAATACACAAACGATAAAGTTGAGTTTATACTAAAATCACAGTTACAGGCAGGTATATAGGGCTTACTGGAGACATGTTGAAACGAAATCCTCACACGAGTGCCTTGAACTTTTGGGGGAAGGTCTTCCCTTGATCCAAAGATTGCATCACAGCTTAGTTCTGTGATATTTATTTAATGTATTTAGGGATCAGCATGCAAATGGCTTTAACAATGGCTTTCTGTGAATAAACATAGCTTAGCATGATAGAATGGAACGAAATAACGGATGGATACCTCTTTTTCCCTTTATATAATACATCTATCATGTGTTTTCTTGGCTAACTTAGAATGAAACGTCAACATCTGCTAACCCACTGCAACCAAAATAACCTGCACGAAGCCCAAATCTACTCAGATCTCCTTCAAAAATGCCACTCAGTAAAAGCCTGGGAAAACAGATGAGTGATACAGATAATCCTTTTGGTAAATACAGCCACCTGCTTGGAAGTCTGCAGTTAAAGCCCACAGCATTGTTAAGAACAGCAGAGTGAATGCAATACACCAAATTACTGGAATATAATATTGGTAACCAGATACAAGACAAAAATGTAAAGGGATTAAGGACACGGTCAGTTACCAGAACTGCAGTAAAAGACTCAAAACTTGGAACTATTCAGTCAATGAGTTAATGGAGCAAACTTTTCCCTTGATATAAAATGAAATTTGAAACCTATTCTTAAAGGACCCAGAATAAAAGTTTTGAAATCCAGGAAGTATAAACTTCTGTGGACACCACATCTTCCTTCCTGACCAGAACTCTGGAACAGTTATTGAAATAGAGAATAGTGTAAGACAAAGATGTAGTAACACCAGCTGCTCAAAAGCTTTCCAGACATATAGCTAATTAGCTTAAAATACATCATTAAATGAAGCTAGTTTAATTACAAAGTTCATTAATTTGTAACAAGTTCCAATATAAGCTCTAATTTTTTGATTGATTTCATTAAAATGGCCACTTTGTTCAGAAATCTTTCAAGATTATATCTCAACTCGAATTTCACACTCTCCATCCTGAGAAAATATTTTGTTAACTGTGTCGTTGAGTGCCAGCTTCAGTAATGCTCAACATTTGCGACAGCAAGAGCACAGAAGTAATGCAAAGAAGAAACGGAGCAGCCGGAGCCCACCTACACCTTCAGAATCTTACACAGGCAGGGTCTGATAAAATGACTAATTGTCAGGAAGAACTATAACACATTTTAAAAGTGGTATTAAAAAAAATAAAAACAAAGCTTGTATATATAGTCAGATAGCAAATAAGAATGAGTCAAAATGTAGTTTTGTGTCAGCTGAATCACTCTATGACTTCGTTTCAAACTGGGATTTTTTTTTCCCCTGCATTGTAGAAGCTGAAATATTTTAAGTCTTCAAAATACAGATACTAGATACCTCTCATTTTGCCTTCAACATGACATTTAATTTCAAACTTTGCTTATGCTTCATTTTAAAGTCTTTTGAAATATTTTAAAAGACTTGAAAATAGAACAAAGACTATACTTGACAGCTCAGGTAAACGTTTTGTTGCAAGTGAAAAAAAAATTAGTTATTCACAGCATGCAACTGGAAAGACAGCTCCTTTTTGCAACACAGAATATATATATGTATATGCATATCCTATATAACAGAAGGTGGCAGAAGCTAGCAATTACTATACTGCATGACATTCTCTGCAATTATGGTATTTATAAAATGCCACAACTAGTCTTGACAACACACTATAGAGGAGACAAATAGAAGAATCAAATAGAAAGCAGATTATTTCAGATTTTGCCACTTAAAACCCCTTCTCCCAGTGTTCTGACAAGAAAGGCAGAGTTACTCCTTGGATTTGATTCTACAAGGAAATAATCCCACACAGAATGATGGATGCTTGATGACAGGGCTTTAGCTCTAACAAACTGATAAACTTATGTCCACTGCCTATGAAAAAGACCAAAACCAGGAGAAATAGATGGAGAAAGGTTGCCTCCGTCATACTCGAGAAGTCTAAAGAGTTTTAGGTAAATTTACCTGTTAAATAAATGAAAAAGAAAGACATACATTGACAATGCTGGAATACATAGGTTAAAAGTTAGGTTAAATGACTAAAGAGGACCTGTTTCCCCAGGGGATGATGAGAATATTTAGAGCTCTTTGACACCAGAGGTGCTGCCAGAATATGGATTTAGGAAAACAATGGACAATTGACAGAGCTCTCCAAAGATAAATTTGGCATAAATGAGATCAGATGCTTAACTCCCATCATTCCCACTGTCATGGGCTGGGTTAAACATGTCTTAATCTATCCATTAAATATGCAGTTGAGAAAAAATTTCCTCTGAGGGCATATCAGCAGGGATCTTGAAAGGGGACAGAGGTCAAACAGTGAGGAAGCTCAGCTTTCCTGTTCCTGCTAATAGCCAAGGAGGGATACCCCTCCTTCCACACAGGTGGAGCAAGAGTCTCCATCCTTTTTTAATCTGCCTTATCCTCTAGGTAGAATACGGGAAGTTTTTGCTTCCCTGAAGTGGGCAAGGATCATTTTTGAGATTATCCCTCGCAGACAGTTTCCTGTGTGTTTGGTAGCCTGCAAGTCATTACACAAAGCAGATTACCACAGTTTCTAAGCACTTTTCTCAAGCATCCTTTCAAGATAAGGAAATATTACTGGCCCCATTTTGCAGAGATACTCATTGTCATACAGTAAGACTGTGGCAGGGTCATGAACTGAACATACACATGCTGAGCCCTTTTCCACTGCTTTTAGCCCAAGCTCTCACTTGCAGAGATTCTGTTTAAACAAAGCTGCCCTGTATGCTTATGTGTATTCTGGCAAGTTTGTGTTCTTCAAAAGCTCATTCATATATGTAAACGTCTTACCATCCCAGCAAATAAAAGCAATCGTGTCTTACCCCAATAACAGTGCCATTCAAAGGACAACCATTCAGGGGTACTGAAAAAGAAGATAATATTCCATTTAGCACTACTATTATCATGACATTACCAAGATTTAATAAACCACAGCTAGGTTTTTTTGACTTATTGCAGTTCCAACTGAGGACATTTAGATCCAGTTTCACTGTAGAGAGGCATAACTGAGCCCTCTCACATTACACCTTGAAAGGCAGCAATCTGTCAGAGTTATCCTGAATTCTACCTCCAAATATCTCTTGCTGAGCTACTTTTTAACAAGTACGTGGCACAATATAAATTTTCCTCTCCAGTTCAATCCTTGCACCCTCAGAAGAGGCACTCAGGTTTTCCACAAGTTACAGTGCATATTTCCCCTCTTCCTCCCACTGCTAACTCCTCACCCTGTGATTGCATATATAATTGTCAATTAAACATATCTGGGAGCCTTCCTAGACTGAGGCCAACTAGCCAAATCTTCTGGTTTGGACTTTTGACCCAAGTCTATGCTAGGAAATGACCACATTCACAATACTCAGACATAGAGAAGACAGCATGGCTGCATTCATACTCCCTGTACATAGCAGGCACTGGGAAGAGTGCTGAACCTTCTTAGGCCAAAAGCACCTCAAGACCTCTTTTAAATGCTTAACAATGCAGGCTAGAGCTGTAGACACATAGTCTGGTATGTGTCTCTGAAGCAATGCAAGATAGATTCAACAGTAAGTAGTTCAAAAGGAGGCAGTGAACATCAGTTGGAAAGAGAAAGTAATAGCAGGTGCTACTGTACTCAATGTCTGAATTATACAGGAGAGCTTCAGAGTACTACTACACTTGCATAACATGCACTTTTGAAATTGCTATTGAGAAACAGGAGATCAACACATGAGAACTCATTCTCTAGTGATTCTTTTCGTCATACACAAAACCTTACCACATCTGCAGGAAGGACAGCAGTCTATTATTTGGTCACAACGTAGTTCAGTTCCCTCTGGACAGTCAGGCACATCCATTTGAGAGCAAGAAAGATTCTTCTGCTGCACAAAAACCTCATTGTTCACCCGGACACACTCGTTGATAATGCAATGGTTGAAGGGGGATCGCCACTCTGTGCCTACCTGATGGGAAATTGTAAAAGGATTAAATATAGGCAGCAGTATTTGTGCCACTGGATAGAGGGAAGACCACCACAACCAACACACTGGTTTGCAAAAAGCATGTTTACTGCATCAGGAACAGTCTGTAACTCAACGGTTCTCCACAAATCCTTACCGCAACAATCAGTTTACAGAACAGTCTGCTGCTTGGTTTGTAGAGTACAAGAGTTACAAGAGTATCCTTAAGGTGAAAAACAAAGGGGCAGGTGAAATAACGTGAAAAAGAAAAAGCACTCTTAACCAGATTTAAATCTACATTTGTTACCTGGTAGCTGGCTGCACTGCATTGCACTGTAGCTGAGCTGGCCCTCTTTCTGCTGGAACCCGCTGCAAATCAGCTCTGCTAAGCCCAAAGGAGGCTTTGGCAATAGGCTCTAGACCTGAAAATACTCGCAAATGTACAACAGACCCGATCCTGTTGACAGTCCTGCTGATTATCATCACCCATGGGTCAGACAAGGCAGGAACTTAAATGCTATTATGGAAAGAGACATCACCGCAGGCCAGAAAGAAGATGCTGTCACAGTTCAACGCTGGGAGGAGCTGATGGCTGCTGTATGTCTCCACTGTTGACACTCTTTGAATACACTTCAAGAACCATGAAAGGGAAAATCAGATCCCCAATTGCAATAAATTCAAACATCTTTGTTCAGAAAGTTAGGGAATACTTTTCTCTCGTGTGTTAAACACTTAGTTCTTTGTTAATACCAAAAGTAGAAAGGACACAGCAAGGAAGAGACAGCAGAGTATAAGGGTCTATTACTCCATTAGGACAACAGATATCAGTAAGACACGGTGGGACATTAAAACAGGCCTTCTGAAGGCTTGTTTTATGATGCAGAGAAGAATATTGATCGACATTAAGAAATGTCCTTGGTAAGATCAGAGAAGAGGCAGGCTGCAAAATGATATATTAACGTTTTTTAAAAGGCAGCAACAGACTGCCTTTGTAGAAGAAGCATTTAAAAAGTTATTATTAAATATGTGAATGTGAGATGTAGATGAAAATGCAGACATGTTATAAAGAACACTTAGGGAGGAAAAGATGGGGAGAAGGTCTATTATATTAAACACATATAACTTACTGTTCCTGTTTCTGTTGAATCCAAAGCTCTGCTTAGGATTAAGCAATTCAATGCTACTGGACCAGGCAAAGGCTTGCCAAGGGTGGTTGGGGTAGGGATAGAACAAAACGAATAATAGCCTGAAGGGATTAAAAATGCAGGCCAGAAAAGAAGGAAATATCCATATAGCTTTACAGAGCAGTAGGGTATCTGCAGCGCATTTTAAATGGCTGTTGCATGCACTCACTTCCTGTTGGGCTCTTTGAATCCTAAGGGAAGAGGCACACTGCTGAAAATAAACTGTTATTTTGAGGAGAAAGCAAGTGTGGCCTGGACCACTGCAGTCTGATCTGACATGCAATCATCTTTAGCAGCCACAGAATAATTCATGTTTCTATCCTCATTTACTTCCTGATATTTCAGTGTGTACCAAATAGGATATCCTATTTGAACAGGACTGTGAAATTCAAGCAATCCTCATCCTGTTTGAAGAGGACTATGATATTCAAGCAATCCACTACCCCATCTGCCTGCTCTCCATAGAGTAATACAAATTAATTGGGATAATTTAAACAAAGAGCCTACAGCTAGAGAAGCATCGTGTCCCATTAATACCCTTTTGAGCTACCATTTGTGAAATTACTAATTTTACACAAAAATATTGCTTCCTTAGAGCTCAAAGAGAGTGGAGAGGGTTTGCTTGATAGAACTGAGTAAGTCACATGCCCTAAAAAACATTGTTTTGTAGCGCTGCTTGATGTATAGAAGAAATAGCTCATCTCTTCATCACCTCCTTCCATGGAACACAAAATAATTCCAGGGCACTTATGCCAGAAGTGTCCATGCCACGGCCACCTCACCTCATGCAAACGAGGATCCGCATCACCTCGAGACCAGAATAGCTGCTCCTCACAGGCAGTCTTCTGGCATCTCCCACAACACTCCCCTTCTTGGACAATATACTTGTAACCCTGTAGGAGAAAAGAAAAGGACTGACTAATCCAGGAATAGGAGAAAAATGAGAAGATTAATCCTAAAAGAAAATACTAGGATAAATGTTTAACGTTAGCAACTTTTTATGGAAAGGGGACTTTGAAAACAGAACTGTAAGGCCACACACCGCTCTTAAAAACAAACAAGTGGTCCACCCAGCTCAGCATCCTGTTAAATGGTTAACATTATATGTCAGAAAAAAGAAATTAAAATGCACACAACGTTAGGAACAGAAATTCTTATCTCATTAGTTCCTGATTAATATATGTTTTGAAGACATATTCACTTCAGCTACATGGATTAACTCTAGGCACTATCCTTGCTCAGGTCACGCCAATCAACTAATGGGCTTTGTGAGGATATCAGCTTCTCTAGTGTGATATGGAGCACCCCTTCTTGGTGGACAGAAAATATTGATGGTGCCTAAAATTAAAAAAAAAAAAAGTAGAAAGAAAGAAAGAAAGAAATATGAAAACACCCAGAAACATCTTCCTTTTGCTAGGATCTGCTGAAATATGTAATAGCACAAAGATTTTCCACAAGACAGAAAAGAACAATGACATAAACAGGCAGAAATGGGAAGGGAAGAGTTAAAAGAAAAACGCTTTCAGAGGACCCTGAGCTATCTCAACAGCATTAAGCAGCAGTCATTTCCAAATGTTAGCTTATTTTATGTGAGCAGTTTCTTTTATGCATTAGCAAATTGTAAAGAGCAAGTTTTTCCAATAATACAGCTCTACAGAGGAGTGCAAAAGGAAAAAGAAGTTCACTTCTAAGGGTAATTGTCAGAACTGCCATGCTATTTGCTGAATTTTGAGAATCTATATTCACTATATGTGAACATTAAGAACCTAGTTTCAAAAAAATCACTACATTAAATCATCTCTGTTTTTACGTGAGTTATGTAATTATGAGAATTTTTATTCGGTATTTAAAACATCTTTTATATATATATAAAATATCATTTTACAAAAGAAAACGAAAGGTAAAAATTGTTCTAGTGGCATCTTGGATGTTAATCAGCACTCACAACTTTCCTTCCCACCCCTGAGAATTCAAGGTTAGGATTCGGTCTGGGCACAGTCAGACATCTGACTGACCTGTGCTGAAGCAGAGGGAAGGGGTTGGTCAAACATGTAGTCCAGGGACCAGTTTTGACTGATCATTTCATCTTTTAATCTCCTGAAGCAACTAGTGAAATATTCAAACATTGGAGTATCTAACTGAAAGAAAGCACGGAGCTTTAATCTAATTAGAAATAATATATTCTACATTGAATAGCTAGGCAGTCTCCAAGGGGCAAAATGTAACTCTGATTTCAATAGAGAGTTGAAGGAAAGATATTCTGTCAAAGAAAATATTGTTCATGTGAAAAACATCAATGAAAATAAGCATCGTTTTATTTTGGTCAACCCCTTTGAACTGAATTGTTGAAGTATTCCTAACTGCTCCCTCCCTTCATGAACTGTTCTTGATCTGCAAACCTCAATAATCTTTCATATGGAAGGCTTTCATATGGAAGTGCATTTTGTATAATGTCATAAAATGCAATACCAGAGTTTGACCTAGCTTTGTGGAAGAAGTTGTGCTGTTAAGCATTTTGCTTGTATCACTTATCTGCTAAATACACGTCTGAAGTATCTGAAGTATTGGATACAATTTTTTTATTTGTGTGGCAGACTCAGAGAAGTAAAAATCCATCAGCTGTTTGTGCCCAGAATAAAGCAAAATCCGGCTGCTGGACCAAAATTTCACTAAGTTGCTTTGAACAGAGCCCTCTAAAGTGCAAACAAAAAAGGTGCCACGCAGCAGATTCCAGAGGTGATGTGCATCCCTAAGGCACTGACAAAGATGTTGGGTTTGGACAGTTCAACCTGCCTGAGCGGCCCTTTCAGTGTTCCGTGTATTCAAAATCTGGAGGCTCTGACTCCTAAGGAGAAGAAACACAGGAGATCATAGCTCCCAACCTCAGCACCTGCTGAGCTTCTCCTAACACAGTTGTTGAACCACCACAGACTACAAATCTGTCTCAGAAGAAGAATCTGCAGACTGCAGCAGCCTACGAGCTCCTCAAAAAGCAGAGCATCCATCTGTATTTGAGCAGTAAGGTGGTCAGTGATTCCTCACTTTCACAGATCCTCCACAGCATGAGGAATATTCCACCATCAGAAAACTCCACCTTCTGTACCTCACACCATGGAAATTTGGGCCCACATGACTAACGAAAGCTTTATTTTATGTTTAATTCTTAAGGTGATAATGTTTAAGGTTACATTTAAGAAAAGGAAAATGTATTCTGCATTTTGAGGGTTTTTTTTTTCTTGTGGGGTTGTTGGATGTTTTTCCAGTTAGATGACTTATGTACAAAGAGTATATGCTACCAGGATTATTTCTGAGCTGCACAATCTATGAACATGAACATCTGACAAGTCTCCAGATACAGTGCTACTGAAGGTTAATGTTAGACTGAACTCAGAGTAAGCAGTATTCATCTCTTCCTTCACTATTTTTCATTTTCTAGTGTATAGACACTAGCATATAGAGATGCCAGTGTTTTCCATGGTTTGTTCAAGGATCCACTCAGTCAATTTTCTGCTTGTCCCCTCCTTTTTCTGGACTGGATCCACCGCTTTATTCCTCCTTTGCATCTTAATTTTGTTTCTTTTTTAAAAAAAAAAAAAAAAAATATCAGAGTTCAAACTTCGAACAAGGAATTAAAATTCAGAAGAAGCCTCGGGTAAGCGTCTGACCATCCATCACACTGAGAGGCAGATCACAGCCTACAGGACTAAAAAAAGTCCTCACGCCTGCAGAGGTAAGAGATGGGGCAGCACAAGGCACTCCTCGCGTGGGAACAGGTGCACGTGGCTGACTCGGGAGCGATAATCAGCAGCTGCGAGGGAGAAGCTGACACGTGCTCAGTTATGCTGCCAGATCGGGCTGTTTTATTGAACACAATAAGATAAGGGATAAGGCTGATCTCCTGCACAGAGGGTGAAAGAGCGTGGCTTAAGGCATTCTACATGGGAGGGGAAGTTTGCTCGCTTTTGAACCGGGGCATGGCTTGCTACGAAGAGAAGAGGAACGCAGATCGATTCTGTAGCATTCAGAGAAGGCACATTTGGTTTCATCACCAACTCAAGGCTACCGGAGGGATCTGCACAGGCCATGGCTTGGTATATTTGTGTGGTCCATCTTTCATTCTAGTGCTGCTCAGGACACGTAGGTCATCTTTTCACAGGTGCTAAGGTTTTGGCCAGAAAACTCTGTCAGCTGCCTTTTGGCCAACGAAGCAGGAAAGAAAGAACAGAGATTATTCCTCAAAGTAGCATTTTTAGGAAGGCTCCAGTATTTTTGCCTTTTACATACAGAGATGGTAGTACCTAGAGAGGGTTGGAGGAAACAGAATGAAAATGGAAACAGGAGACTAAGAAAAACCCAGTAGGATGGATATGAAACAACTTGAAATGCTGAAAGCAAAATCTTCAGTGGTGAAGCATCAGCACAATTCTAGATATTTCCCTGGAGCTGCACTCTTTTAACCCACATGAGGACTTAATTCTCTGTTTGCAAGACTCTAGGACATTAAGGTATCATTTCCTAATTTCCACAGTAAATTATGCTTTAAAATGCAAGCAGGACATTTGAAATTACCTCCCAAGAAGACTTTCGCAGTTTTTAAATGAGAACCTGTACATCTAATATTCAAACAACAGTCTTCCTTTTACATTAGTTTCTTTGACATCCTTAATATACATTTATTAAGCCATTTACTGCCATGTTTTACATGCTACTTCAAAGGAAAACATCCATTTGAAATATTGGAGATCAAAGCCATAGCTTTTGTAGTCAGCATCTATTACAACCATCATTCACTATGCCTTTGCACGTAGGGTGCAAATGTTCTTTATTTTAATTTAATTAATCAAGAGGCTTGAAAAATCTAACCTAATTAATTTACACACACTTAGCCAAATGGCTTTGTCTTAAACACTTATCCCAGAAAATTATGCTTCATTCTTCTCATAATCATCTAATACTTTAAATTATCCAATACTTTAAACCACACTTTTATATCACTTACAAAGTACCTAACTCCAAGAACATTGGCAGAAATTAACCAAAGCAAGTGCTCCCTTCACATTAGTATACTAGTGATTTTAAGGCGTTTTGAAAGCTGTTATCCATTTCACCACCACGATTCTCTTAAGGGATGTAGTCTGATGTGCTGTCAGAGAAATGGTTTCTGAAGAAGCTCCAGGAGAGCTTCCAGGAGACTCCACTCCTCCTTGTGGCACATGTTAAGAATTGCGTCAAGTACCTGCTTGCTTTCTCAAAACTTTGGTAAGAAAAAGATAGAAGAGGACAGAAAAAGTGAGGGGACGATGCCATATAATGAAGCAAACCTACATCTGGTTTGCAAATGAGAAGTCTGTATTTGCTTTTAACCTCCTCCGAGAACCGTGGGATTGATTCATTTAAACGAAACATCCACTTTTTTTCCATAGCATTTCCTTACATTCTAAAACTACAGATGTGATTTAAGCTTGATTTTGTTGTGCTCAGGAGAACAGAAGCACTGTTCATTCACCAAGGTGACAGAGCTGGTACAAGCATTACGTTTTTTTTTCTCCTCTTATGTATCTAGTTAAAAAACTGTTAGCTGTTTCCACAGAAGTCAAATGACATAGACAACAACAATACTGCACAACTTAAAGATCTGGCGATGGAATTAATAACCATGAGCAGCAAAGAGTTTTGAACATCCTATTAGCGATGATCCATGATTAAAGTATGCCTTCAATATCAGTACAACATTCAGTGTCATCTAATTTGAACTGAAAAATAAGCTATAAGGCCAATTCAAAATGGATTACAGAACTTCTGGGGTCCTTGATAAGTATATCCACTGAATCAGGAATAAGCAAAGGAAAAAAGAAAATCTGAGCTATCCAGGTTCTTCAGCAGCTACAGTTTTGGTAGCTCCATTAAAGGAGCAGAAGAAACGACAGATTCCCCAAAAGAACTGGCATGGTTTCTACCAAGGCTTCTTGTTTGTTTTAAAAACACTTTTTTGACACTGCAACGCTTAAGGCCTGATTTGTCAAGAAACTGTAGCTCTGCATTAGTGATACCTTATTAGAATAACAAATTATTGATAAAGTTAAAGATGTAACATGGCCAGATATTTTAGAACTAATATTTCGTAATAGTTGCCACAATAGAAACGAGTTTCTTCTAGAAATAAAAATCAAAGGGATCCTCTTGCAGTCTGAAAGTTCTCACATCTACCCTCACAGTTTTCATTGCATTGGACATCCTCAAGCTTTCTCACCAAACTCTACACATGCAAAAAAAATACTAGTTTGATTTGTTGGTTCTTGGTTTGGTTTTTTTTTAATGGATTCGGTTTTTGCTCTGGTCCTAGGCAATTATGTAGTGTTTCAGACATAGCAGACGAAAATATTATTAAAAAATTTTATATTTTGTTCACACCTTCTCAAGTGCACATACATGTATACTGTCCAGTCTTGTTCTGGTGCAGAGGCTGTAAGTTAAATCATATTGAAATATAGTGGTATTAAGGCATTTGAAATTCTTTGAAAACCAAGGCACAATTAGCTTAATAGGATTCGGAGAAGAGAATTGCTTTTCAGATATTGGTTTGCTTAACTGAAATGTTCATAGTCAAATTTCAGTGCATAATTAACGGTTTTAAAATACAAATTAGTGTAAATTCAAATGAGAATCTGAAACAAGTCAGACAATGCAGGGTTTCTACAACAACGTTTACTGAGCCGCGAGGTACTGCACATATATACTCTACGCCCGAGGTCAGTTTTTGACTCCCAGACACATTATTAATGATGTCTTTCAGAAAACAGAAAGAACAGCTCTAACTTCTCATAGCTGTATATACAAGATCTGCTGATTAAGAGCTTTCTTCCAAATACAACTGAACAAAAGTAAGGAAGAAGAAGAAATATCATGCGTTGATTTTTGTCAGCCTCTGTTCTGAATGTGACTGCATAAATGGGACTCATTCAAAAAAAAAAAAAAGCAGACTTCTTAAAACTGGTTAAAAGGTTTAGGAAGAACAGTGAGACACAAGCTGCAAAGATCCAGAGACAACGAGGAGGAGAGGAACATGCATAACACATTTGTTTGGAGATTCACTGTATTTCCAGCAAGAAGAAGAAAAACCTGCTCGTGGAGCAGAAAAAAAGCACGTGAATCTTGTCTCCTATGCAGCACTAGAAAACCCAGAATATCACAGTAGCATCCCAGTCAGCACAGTGAATCAAACACAGAAGCAGAATGCTTCTTAATTAAAGGTGTTTGCAGTTATTGCTGCAGTGTGCCCTCCTTTGTATTTCCCACTAACAAATTCCAGCTGGTCACCTGTAATGACACCAGGGTAGTCTGCTGAGTCACAGGCCAACATGTAGACTTTTATCAGCTACTGGACCACTGAAAGCACTGATGTCACAGCATACATTTGGAAACACTTGCTGCTTGGTCAACAGTTTGAATTTTGTGTGGGCTAATGCAATATATGCCTAACATAAATATTTTAAAAGCAACTTAGAAATTTGAATAGAATTAACTAGCTCATCTTTGCTTCTGCACTGAAGGAAAAAACAAATTAGCTTCTTCTGTGCTTCACTTCACAGTTCAGGGAAGAATAAACTCAGGGGAAAAAGCAAACCCTGGGTCAGCAAAAGACCTGCAGAGAATATTCTGAATCCCAGGCAGCCACATCTAGCTGTTCCACAGGGACCCCATACAGCCTACTGAACTTGCAGATTGTGAACACGCTAAACCATGGACTAAGGAGGAGTTGCTTCAAGTCAGATGTGCCTTGGCTAATACCGTCAAGAACAATCTCAATTAATGCACGTACATGCTGAAAGCTTTACAAAGAGGCAAAATGTATTTGTGGTAGCCTCTGACGTTTGCACCACAACTTCTCTGGCCCCGTGGCAGTTGGTAAGGGGCGCAGGTTGTCAGCACTTGGCTGGGCTGGGCAACCTCTTCTGCCATCTGCTTTTTCTGCAGACTCAAGCGGTGTATTTCCACTTTCGTCACTGACTAACCTCATGAAGCAAGGATATGTGAATGCTCAGGGATTATGGGCACAAGGTGCTAGATACCAGAGTAAAATGCAACTCTAGGGCATCGTGTTTAATTTTACAGCGATTTTTTACTTCCTTATTCTCCACATCATGTTAAGGTGAGGAATGTTAGGGATGTAAATTGGATAGTTTAAAGAAAGTATAAAAACCATTTTGAACTTTTGTTTGCACAAATCCTGTTACGGTCAAAGTCTTCTAATCTATGACACTGGCAAGTGCTGCTGACTTTTAACCAATTCCTTTGACCCTTCAAGAATTCTTCCACTAACTTTTTGTACCAAGTATCTGTCTCCTTCTGCTTGATCAGCTATGCAAATATAACAAAGCAGCTCGTACTTCTTTTGTGGGCGTCCAAAACAAGACCACATAATTTTATAGCATGTAGCAGATGTCTGAGCATAATAAAGGCCACAGCATGTGGTGTTATTACTGTTATAATGGGCAGAGCTAAGCTACAGAGAAATCTGAAGTGTTCTCTTCAGAAAGTGAACCTCAGCTAGAACAGTCATTTGAAACTGAACTTCAGACATCATGAGTACTTATTGTGCAAGTGGTGTAAACGATAGACACTTCAGGATGCAGTTCTCCTTTTATTGAAATATAAAATAAACTTGTCACTGTTTTCCTTGGCAGCAGGATATGATCCTAAAACAATAACCCTAAAACAAAGTCAGTAATGCTTAGGGCCTCTTAGATTCTGTTCCCAAGATAATTTGTTGCTACAACACTTATTTTCTATTTTTCTCTGGTTTCTCTAAACACACAGTAAAAAAAAAAGTAAGTAATCATTTCAGATCCCCATCAGGGCTCTGCTGGCTAATGCATTGGTTTAAATGTTACTCACCCGAGAGCAGAATGTGTTACATTCTTTGTCGTGACACTCCATCATCTGAAGTCCTGTAACATCATCCCTCATACTGGTGCAAGAGCATTCCCTGCAACCATCTTCCCAGGTTGTCCCAACGGGGTAGACTATGTTTTTGTGCACACACACCTGTTGAATGCAACAATGAATATATGAAAGAAAACACTGCTGCTCTAAGAGCACACTGCTGGCTCTGAAAGGCTGCCTTTTAAGATGTGAAACCTACCATAAATTTTACAGAATATTTTGAACCCAGTAGAAATGCTACAGGTCTTAGAATTATGGCTACTTTGTTGAGGAAAGGAAAATGAGTGCAACCCTTTAAAGATGCTGTTTTATAAAGAGTGTATTGGAGAATTGTATCTGCCGTCAGTGGAATTGCCCCGGGTCTGACTCAGTTTCCCTGGAAGTATAATGTGACCCTATATGTAGAGATAACAAACAATGAGTCCTGCAGAAGGAGCCGTGCATGCAAAACTTCTTCCAGCTAAATCAGCTGATCCTAAAAGATCCTACTTTTAGCTACTAGCATTAATACTCTTGTATCCTTAGGCCATCACAGCTACCACAAATGTAGTGCCATCTCTTACATTGCACTTTCTATTCGTAAATTTTACAGCATGTTATTAAAGAGATGAATGTCATTTATTTTTATGGATATAGCAAGTAAGTCACAGAGACATAAAATGACTTATGCAAGGTCATGAACTACTTAGCAATAGAAAATAAAAGCTAGATTTCCTGAGCTGCAAGACAGAGTAACCCTATGTTAAGCTGTTAGGTAAGGTTGCTTCAACGAAAAGGTTATATTGCCCTGCAATCTCTCCTCTAAGCAACCTTATCCTCAAGGTTAATGTAATATAACAACTTAATAAAAGGTTAGCAAAATAAGGAAAAATATATCCTGGTGAAGCTTTAACAGAGTCTATTAATTTGGCAAAAATTTAAAAGTGGCAATACAGTTCATATAAGATACAATGCCTCCTCAGGCAGAGGGAAAGATAATCAATGGGCACAAGGAGTTTAGGTCTAAGGTGCCCCAAATATTTTGATAAAGTTAGTACAGGACTGAAAGAATATATAGTAACTGTACGGATCCAAAAGCATGCAACTCTGTTTTCCAGAAACAAATTAAATATTTAAAAATTATATCTGAAATTACTAATGCTTGAATGACCTTGAAGTTTCAAATGTTTTTGGTTTTTACATATATATATAAATCTGATCATCTCAAACTTGCAAAAAAATGGGCTGGTTATGTCAGAATAAACAACTGTAATAAAACAAGCAACAGCATGATGCAACAGCTGTATTTCTCTCAGGCATATGTAAATTAAAAATGCCTTGGCATCATTACCTGGTAGTCTCGTTGGGGGTTTGTTAACACCCAGCTACCCGCTTACTTCGGTGCTGTCACTCCATGTACAAAAGATACTCTTATCTGTGGAAACGGCGCTTCATTCCCCTTACCCTTCCTGGAACGCAGGTGGTGGATACGCAGCCGCAGTCATTGGTGAGAGATCTGGACAGATACCCCAGAGGGCAGGTCACTGTTGAGTTCGTACAGCTGCAGGTACACTCATACTTATCACAGCACTCGGTCGTCTTCACAGTCAGCTCTCGATGCGGTGGGCAGGAAGGTCTTTGGACTAAGCTGCAGGCTTCTCTGTTACACGCTAGCAGAAAAAGGTAGGTACCACGTCAAGCACACGGCATTTCGGAGTGCGCTGAGTGAACAAGACAGTTCTCTGGCAGCAAGGCACTAATTGCTACCGCAAACTGTTATTAAATCTACTTAAAGACTAAGAAGTAATGCAGATATAAAAGACCCAGGTCAAAGATTGTGCTGCAGGGTCAGGAAAAGTTCCTACCCTGCCAAAAAATTCTTGTCTCATATACAATCAAAAAGATTTATAAAATAAGCATAAGAGTCAGAGCACAAACATCCAAGAGTAAAGTGTTTCTCTTTTCCTGAATTCAAAAATGGACTCAGAAAGTGCCAATAATACTCTTCTTCCAAGTCTGTGAAATCATTACATGTCCATTGGCTTCAAAATTGAACCTTTTGGAGGGAAAAAGTAATGTCTAGAGGAAATTGTCAATGTTGCTCAAATGCAACATTCCAGTGTCACTCCCTGCTAAAAAAAAAATATCTTACCACATGTGTAATTTGGTCTGCATTCTCCAGGGTTGGTCAGAGCAAGCTGCAGGCCAAACTCACAGACAGGGGCAGGAGGCAAATCACAGGAAACCAGGTCACAGACTAAGAGAAATTGAGAGAGTGTTTAAGACCACGCCTGACCAGTTAGTCCTCAAGAACAGACACGCATGTCCCCATTAAACTTTTTTCCCTATGCTCAATTGCTATCCTAAAATATGGAGTTAGATTTCAGCAGGTCAGAATTTGTTTTCAAAATAGCTTAGGGAACAGTTCAAGCTTGGGTTATGAGGATTAAGGTTCTGATGTTATATTTAATGTGCAAACATAGATCATGCAAAAATAGATACTTGAAAAACAGACCATTCTAATGTCATTTAGACAAAAACAAAGTGCTGCATTCCCTTCCTCATCTCTTACAGAAAGAGAGACAAAATTAAGCTGTAAGTGAATGGCGACTTACATTCTCAAGAGTTGTTTATTCTTCCACATGGATGATTGTACGGTCATTCAGTGGTTTCAAAAATGGAGCATTGCATTAAATAAAAAAAGGGACTGTATACCTTTGAAGCATCTGGTAAAAAATATGGACCAAGAAGATTTCAACAGTTTACAAGAACCTACCACACTCGTACTCAGGGCAGCACTGGTCAGGGTCCCTGCGCAGACGAGGAACTTCACAGGGACCGCACTGAGCAGCTGGAGTAAGAAGAAAACATCCATAAAACAAGTTTGGAAAAGAACTAGAAAACCAGGTAACAAAAACATCAATTCAAGTCCAATCATACTTAGACCTAAACCAATTTACGTTTGGCAGTAGGGCAAGGTCGGACCGTGCAGTTTACTTTCTTGTTATCAAGACATGTGCAGATCTTGCAAGGCTCATTGGTGGGAATCCATGTTTCCATGTGCTGCATGAAAAAAAAGAAAAACCAAAACAGATTGTTAGAAGAAATCAAATATTCTGGTCATTGGTATGTTAGCGATGGGAGTGGGTGAGGATGAGTAACACTAATTTGGAAAACCAGAAGACTCTATGCAGCATTGGTTGGTTGCTCTGTTAACAGTAAGAACCTAAGGAGAGACATAATTCTGAAATGACTCCAGTGTACCAATTTAGCAAAAGATGCAAACAATGCACGAACGGGATGAGGAATTGCTATTGTTTTAAGCCTGAAAACGCCCAGATGTTATAAATACAATTGCAGGCTCTTATGAGTAATAGTGGACTCATGCACCTACACACCATGATTGAATGTTCAGTGGTAAGAAGGGAAACAACAATATTTTGGGAAATACATAGGAGTGCCTGCTTTCCCAAACTAGTAGTACTTAAACAAAGGAAAATAAACAGTGCATATTTTTAATTAAGAATATGTGGGGTGTCATCACTTGATTTCTAGTGGACTGAAATATGGAAAAGCACTATCACAATTCCAAATCTGAAACCATCACTATGGTGATGACCTGGAGGTAATAAGCACTTTCAGAAACTGCCAGAAAAGTGTATCATTATTCAAACACTGCTACTTTTCATGACAGAGAGGGAAATCATTGATGTTAAAGATGTAGTTACCCATAAAGAACTATCCACATTTAACACCCATGTGAATAGGGAAGAAAGAGTGAAAAGATGCACTACGGGACAATAAAGTTAGTTTGCACAATCCATCCAGGTTCTGTGTGAGAACATGTAGAGTAGGTCAGGATGCCATAAAGGGAAAAAGTGTCATCCAGAAAACTCCGGAGTGCAGTTTAAAAATATCAGTCTGCTGAGACCTTTAGGACCTCTAGTAATAAGAATAAAGGAAGGAAATAGCTAAGCATACTGCCACCTATATCCAGAGATATCTATGTATTTTAAGCCATCAGAGGAGTCTGAAAAGACAGTTTACTTTCAAAGGTTAACAGCATGGCAAGAATAAGACACCAGGCATGCTAGAAAAAGCCAACTAGAGTTTTAATAAAGCTTAGGAACCAAATCACATAGAATCAGTTAATCCAAAGGAAATCTATTTTAGTCAAAGAAAGCTTGCATCGAGGTTTTGCTAGTAAAGAACATTATTTCGGAGCTTGCAAAAACAACTCTGTCCTCTGCCAGAGCATCCAATGGCCTCAGGGTTAAAGAGTCCTAAGAAGGCAGCTGATAGAGAATGCCTACACTTGCAGGTGGTGATGTGAAAAGCATGTAGACATTTCAAGACACAGAGAAAGAGAATCACAACATTTGCTCTAATATTTTCAGCAGCGTTGATTTTCACACAGGTTTTCTTCAGCA